CGTTTTATATTTCTGTCAGAGAAGTAGAAAAGAAATATCGTTGACTGAGTGTTCTTAGGTATGTGTACCTCTCTATCTGGTCGTTACTTGTACACATGATTACAGCGGAAGGAAGCGGAAAATTATTTCTTATCCAACGCTTTTTATTAAATATGGCCCAACATTCATTACTTACTTGTCAACATAAGCAGCTCAAAAATGCTTATTTTCTCTAATAAGACCCTGCTGTCACTAAAAATGGCACACTCTTTCGAACGAATGAATGGTAGTGGGTATTTAGTGAACCAAACAAGTAGGATCTTGCCGCCGGACAGAATCCGGAAACGTCAAAAAAATGCGGAAGTGCTCCACTAAATTGTGAAACGATAAGACACATCCGGAATTTAGCTGTCGTTCTGCGACAGTACATAACTAAATAGTTCCGTAACTGTGAACGTTAAAGTTTATCTAAAAAAAATCCTCAATTCCAAAAAAAGGTGATGGAGCTGTAATAAAAAAAATCATGAATGGTTAACATATCTATGCATTTACAAATACAAATTTAAGCGTTAATAATACTTTTTTTAATTTTATCAAATAAAGAAAAAATAATTTGTATAAAATCACAGTGACTTTTGGTATATCACCGAGTGAAATTACGATAACAGTCATGAAAAGTTTATTTTTAAAAAATACAGCCAAGAAAAATGATTAAATGCCAACAGGACTGATACGCAATAATTTTCTTTCGGATAGAAAAATACATATATATATATATATATATATATATAATACTTGTGGGCCGGTTCAATCTAATGATCATTTAGCGTGTTGGAATAGAAAAACTTCTACTGACAAAGATCAACGCTTATAAGTGTTAAACCCGATGGCTTTATTTTCGGAAGTTATAAAATGACCCCCGCTATAATAAAACAATGACCGGGTACAAACACAGACCACTGGAATTACGACGTATTCTTTATTTTGATGACCAAGTTAATGTCACAGTCCTTTCCAGCATGACAGGTCAAGCTATATAATGTTGTGGTGACCAACAAAAAAGTAAACAAGTCTTGTAAACCTATGTAATGACTACCAGAATTCAATTGGAGAAGTTAACTGCATTATTTGAGAAGCCAATGTTTATCATATTGGAGTTTCCGGTTTGTTTCTTGTAGTCGATATATTTCGGCATGCTTATTAGATACAAAGATTTAAAAACTGTAAAAAAAAATAGATAATGATGATGATAATAATAATAATTTAGTTAACATACTCCGATAATTGACTCGTCAGTGGGCCACAACCTTAGATGAACATAATTTTTAGTACAAAGGACTGATATATATAAAGTTTATCAAGGACCACATACTTAACTATACATAATTTATTGATAGGTTTATCTACAGACTTAGTACACATAATTTATTGATAGATTTATCTACAGACTTAGTACACATAATTTATTGATAGATTTATCTACAGACTTAGTACACATAATTTATTGATAGATTTATCTACAGACTTAGTACACATAATTTATTCAGAGATTTATTTACAAACTTATATATACATAATTTATCTATTGCCAAGGACTAAGATATACATAATTTATCTATGACCAAGGACTTAGATATACATAATTTATCTATGGCCAAGGACTTAGATATACATAATTTATCTATGGCCAAGGACTTAGATATACATAATTTATGTAGGCCCAGAGACTTAGATGGAATCGTCTGTCAACAATGACATCAATATCTATGAAGGTAATTTCCAAGATCTATCCAATCATATTTAAAATTCGCATTTGCTTCCGGGCAGAACAACAATTTATGATTTAACTGGTATCACCAGTGAAATTATTAATTTACAGAAAATAAATGAAATTTCCGTCTCGTCTGATTGTCTGGTAAACGCATTTTCAGTTATGAAGCTAGACTGTTTGCCCTTCTACAAATAATCATTTTGCTAACTTTGTTTTATAATACAGGAAAATGGCGACATGTTTTGACTTTATACAGTGAGAGGAAAAAGAAACGCAATTAGGAATTTCCAGGTCAACTACGGGAAATAGAAAAGGGTTTTAGAAAGTAATTATGTTGTAACTGAAAGATAGATGACCACTCTGTCATCTACGAGATTTTCATTCGTGTACGTTAAGTAAACCTTTCAAATTTGAGGTTGATTAAAGAGTACCCCACTCAAAATGAAGTGCGTTCTGGACCCATCAATATCGTTGAGCTAAAATCACTGGAAAAATTATACATCAACAATATTTGATCGCTTCCTTTCCGAGTCATTTGTTTTGTGTTTCATGGGTTTAGTCCCATTTTCAGAACATATCATCAAGCAAAATTTCAGAGCATTACGTACAGCGACCTGAACAGACTCGCAAATTTCTGTCACAATATAATTGGAAATGAATACAGAGATATCCGCCAAATAGACTGAAGGCAGTTGTTCAATGCATTGTCAGCATCATGATTTCATTGATTTACCATACCGTTGAGCATTAAGGAACTGTACCTTTGAGAATCCGATGCTGATGGTGAAATGCTGATGGCACGAGGTTTCCTTACAAAGCGTATACTGTACAGAAACTGAATGTTTAGATGATATTGACATAAAATGTAGTTGAAGAAAAGAGTTGCTAACAATTGTGGAGACTCACTATTGGCCAATATATTCAGCATACGTTAATATCTGTAGCGAGTTTACGCACAACAAGCGTTTTCTTTTATTTTTAACATACGGTCGAATTTACAAAAAAAAAAAAAGATTAATAAAAAGTCTCCAAACTCCATGGCTGTGCATTATGGAGATTTTTTTATAAATTATTTAACAATCTCAGAAATTTGCAAATATATTTTGGAAAAGGTTTGGGCTTGTCTCTCACCTGTTGTTTTTGTTGGTTCTGATCCATTCGGTGGTGGAATTGTATTTGTTATATTCGATATTTGATATGTAAGTACTGGTTCTGATTTACAGATCTTATCATTGTTCTGTATCTAATATTTATTGGATAACCGATAGAAAAGTACCTGTAGTTAGGTATTATTCCTACGTTCTACTTTTGTGGTATGTGTGACCTTTGCTATTCAAGCCCTATATCACCTCAGTGAATGCTTTACATTTCATTTCTGAAGTATTCATCGTATGCAGTGATCCATTTCAATGCGAATCCTAAGTCCGGTACTCATAGGATTTTGATGGTACTCACAGAGACGTACGAGAAAGACGAAACAGCTGTATGATGCAGCCAGGGACGTAGCTTCCATAGAAAGAAAAAGCTCGAGCTTACACATAAAAAAATCCGTGCATAGAGTATGTCGGACAAAATATTAAGGTTGAAAATAAATATTTAATATTTTTGATAAATAAAAAAAGTATAGATAGAAAATTGTTGAATAACTAGGCCTAGTGCATTGCTTTCCGGAACTTTATACACGTCATACTGTTCTACTTCTTATTATCATTTCAACGTTTCCGATTATAATGTTGTTAAAGTGCAAATTTTCAAAATGGATAAGGCTTCTGGATTACAGACGTCGATCGACAAGTTTTTAAAGCAAAATAAAGTCGAATCAAGTGACCACACTAAAAGTGACACTTCAAAGACCGAAGGTACATATAACCAAGATACGGAAATTGTCAGGGACATTTTCGCGAATCAAAAGAACAGAAAGTTAGGTTTTATTTTAGTCAGGAGTTGAAGTTTGTTGTTGAATAAATAAAAAAAACTGTATCAGAAAACGATCCAAAACATCTTTGAAATCATGAAGTTTAATTTTCCGTCGGCGGCCTTCGCCCCCCTGATCCCCCAACTAGGGCTCTGCCCTGGACCCGCTGGGGGCCCCAGACCCCTCGCCTGGGCTTACACATTTCTACTGGGCTAGCTACGCCCCTGGCAGCATCACTGACGAGTCCGAGGAGGACGAAACCGCTATATGATGTAGCATCACTGACGGGTCCGAGGATTTACATACGATAAATTAGACTTGTCTCCCCTCCACCGTGGTGTTAGCATTTTAGTTAAGTGTCGGCTTGTAATAAAGTAACACGCCTGGTCTGTTAAGATTGTAGTGAAGTGTCCGTTTGGAAAGAGGTGACATATTTAGTCTGTTAAGATTGTAGTCTAGTGTCCGTTTGGAAAGAGGTTACACGTCTAGTCTGTTAAGATTATAGTGAAGTATCTGTTGGAAAGAGGTAACAATCCTGGTCTATTAAGATTGTAGTAAAGTGTCCGTTTGGAAAGAGGTAACACGCCTAGTCTGTTAAGATTGTAGTGAAGTGTCTGTTGGAAAGAGGTAACACGTCTAGTCTGTTAAGATTGTAGTGAAGTGTCCGTTTGGAAAGAGGTAACACGCCTAATCTGTTAAGATTGTAGTAAAGTGTCCGTTTGGAAAGAGGTAACACGCCTAATCTGTTAAGATTGTAGTGAAGTGTCTGTTGGAAAGAGGTAACACGTCTAGTCTGCTAAGATTGTAGTGAAATGTCCGTTTGAAAAGAGGTAACACATCTGGTCTGTTAAGATTATAGTGAATTGTCCGTTTGGAAAGAGGTGTCATGTTTAATCTGTTAAGATTATAATGAAGTGTCGGTTTAGAGAGAGGTAACACGCCTAGTCTGTTTAGATTGTAGTGAAGTGTCTGTTGGAGAGAGGTAACACGTCTAGTCTGTTAAGATTGTAGTGAAGTGTCCGTTTGGAAAGAGGTAACACGCCTAATCTGTTAAGATTGTAGTGAAGTGTCTGTTAGAAAGAGGTTACACGTCTAGTCTGCTAAGATTATAGTGAATTGTCCGTTTGGAAAGAGGTGACATGTTTAATCTGTTAAGATTACAATGAAGTGTCGGTTTAGAGAGAGGTAACATGCCTAGTCTGTTTAGATTGAAGTAAAGTGTCGGTTTGGAGAGAGGTAACATGCATAGTCTGTTTATATTGTAGTAAAGTGTCCGTTTGGAAAGAGCTAACACGCCTGGTCTGTTAAGATTGTGATGAATGAAAAAACGCCAAGTTGGATTTCTTATCTATTTATTATTCATTTTGTTTTTCGTTTTAATCAATAGAAAAAACAGCATATCGGAATCTATAAAGCATATGTAACATAAAAACTGTTGAAAATACTCGTAATTTATATAGTTCCTAAACTGGGTCGACTATAAATGGATTCTCCTCAGGACTATCATCTGTATTTTCCACAACCACATCTTTGTGTACTTTCTGTATGTCTTTTGGTATAAATGATATTGTCACCACCCCAAGAACGGATGCCAGAACGAAAAGACAACCTGCAAAAAAAAAGTCATTTTGATAATATGTGTTTAAGAGAGCAGTTTTTGTACTGGAATAAGCTTGCTTTTAGATAACAGATCGTCGATAGGATATGTAGTTCTCTTTACGACAAACTTTAACATAAAATCTTAGTAGAATGTGTAGACTTATCATTATGGTATATGAATCTAATAAAGACCACAATATGGTCTTATTCCTCACTATCGCATTTGTTTTATTATATCTTCCTTCATACCCAATAAATGTACTTTATGGAATAATGTGCCCCTGGATAAAACATTGCACCACTTTGCAACAATTAAAAAATTCTATTAAACCGATTAAAATAGTCACAGGAAAGAAACTTTTCAAACCATTTGCAGAAAGGAGAGTGAACATAATACCTTGTCGTATACGTAATAACGTTAGTAATCTTACTTATGATTTATTCCGAGTCGACTTAATGGACAACCTGTCCTGCCGATGTGGTCATAATACGGAGGACGCAGAACATTTATCATTCACTATCTAATACATTATAACGCGCAAAGAAAAACGATGTTTAGACGCTTGATATGGTACACAAATATTACATATGTAAACCTTTCGTATGGTGCTAGTTCTTTAGATATAAAATTAAATGAAGTAATTTGTAAGCATGTTCACCACGGAACTTTATCGTTGATAGTAAAATATTGGCCTAAATACAGGTCAACATATAGTGTCATCTGCCTAGTTGTCGACTTCAAAATCTTTTCCTCTCGATATCCGACTCCCTAGTTCTATTGTTCTGTTTCTTTTTCTGTTCTAAAGCCTTGTACAATATATTATGTATTGGTCTTTGTATGGCCATTGCTATGCTTTGCAATTGTATACTTGTATTACGGAGAGGACATAGATAAATCCTGATAACTTGTGTCCGATCCATTTGTATATGATTATGCAATAAAACTGGTTCAAGTTCAAGAATTTGTTCTTAACATAAGTTGAAAGAAACAGATTCATATAATTTTTTGCTGACAATGATAAAAATAACATATCTATAAATATGTGCTTAACCAAAAAACGTGTTTTACGACAAAATGTACGTACCAAGGAACAGAAACGTGTGAAGGTAGCCTCCCACACTGACTATCTCACCTGTAAATTATTAAAAAAAATATCGGTATTACAAAGATCAATTATCACATTTCGGTTTTTACATGGAAATGTCAGTTTTTATTTGGTTGAATTCTTGAGAAGCTAAAACTCTTTTCTTTGATCTACCTAAAACAAAGGCACCAACGCGCATCATAATCACAATAATTACAACCCCGTGTCATTATTTACCACATTGTATCACAATGAAGTCACGTCACTACTTCGACCTAATATGAAATAAAATATAAAAAAAAAATTTTTTTGTGGAAATGAATTAACATCATATCTAGCTGTGCTAAATGCAAATATAGAATGTTAATATAGAGGAATGTTAATATAGAGGAATGTAAATATAGAGGAATGTAAATATAGGCGATTGTAAATATAGAGGAATGTAAATATAGAGGAATGTATATAAATAGAGGAATATAAATATAGTTAATATAGAGGAATGTAAATATAGAGGAATGTTAATATAGAGGAATGTATATAGAGGAATGTTAATATAGAGGAATGTAAATATAGAGGAATGTAAATAGAGGAATGTAGATAAAGAGGAATGTAAATAGAGGAATGTAAATATAGAGGAATGTAAATATAGAGGAATGTAGATAGGAATGTAAATAGAGGAATATAAATATAGAGGAATGTAAATATAGAGGAATGTAAATAGGAATGTAAATATAGAGGAATGTAAATATAGAGGAATGTAAATATAGGGGAATGTAAATAGAGAGGAATGTAAATAGAGAGGAATGTAAATAGAGGAATGTAAATATAGAGGAATGTAAATATAGAGGAATATCGAAACTCTATTTGGGCTCATTCGTTATTACCCCATGAATAGTATTTTGTCCTTTTTAGATATGAAGAAAACATGGGCTGTTTCGTGTTTTTTGAAGGCACGAGCCGAAAACAATTATCTTATTTTGTTTATATCAAGAGTCCAGACGACTGAATGACTTAAACTCCGGAGGAGTAATTTCATTTTTTATTGTAAAATCGATAATATTCGCGGAGAATTTACTTTTGTTATACTCGCGGCCATTAGAGATAGCGCGAAAATAAACATCCATCAAACAATTAACAGAAAATCAAAATAAATGTATAAGGGAACCTCTGTTTGATGTCTGTATAGATGTATGCCAAGACATGCGCGAAATTAAATCCTCGTGAAATTTCCTAACTTGGATGACCGCCAAATGTTAACCTCGCGAAAGTAAACGATTATACAGTTTCTCACACAATGCATAGAACAGTTATTGGTAATGTTATAAACGTTAATTTAATTGTCTACTGACATGATTTTTATGTGAAAATCTATATATCAAAGGATATGTACAAAAACGTTCAGCAGGGTTATTTTTCTCTACTGTAAATGCAATCTTACTAAGAAGATGTTTTCCATGATGCAGATGGTAGTTTTGGTGAGAGATAGGTAACTTACAAATGCTACCTTTTTGACAGTAAAGTTTGAGCTCAATCTAACTGGTGAAACTTAAGAAGTTTGAAATATGTTTTTTTTTTCAAGATGACGGTCATGGTGGCCATCTTGGATTTCAGACCGACCTTAAAAATAACAACACTTAGTCCGGACCATCTCAGGATCATTTCATACAAGCTGGATCTCTATCCTACTGGTGGGACTTAAGAAGAAGTCGACAACGGACGAAGCACGATGGCTATAGGACACCATGGCCCTTACGGTTAGATGACCTTAAAACCAAAATTCAAGAAAATGATAAAAGAATATAATATATATAGTTCTCCGAAGTTAAAAGAAATCTGCTTGAATTACATGATTTTCCCCCGTTATTTTCCCATTGCCTTATGATAGACTATAAAGGTAATAGGGACACGGAAAGTGTTTAATGTTGATAAAGTGAGATTACGATTGCAGCACTTACTTGCAATTATTGGGCCGATCAGGAAGCCCACACCGCACACGAACAGTTCCATGCCAACTGCACTAGCAAATCTGTCGAGTCCGACGATATCCACTGCTATCTGACTGAGAAGTACAAATGTTCCTGCCGAGTATAACCCCAAGAGTAAGGCATAAATCACCTTCCCTGTAAATGCCTTCGCCATAGCGGGAAAGCAAAGAGTCAGAACCCCGACGATACCCCAGGATCCAAAATAAATTAACTTTCCGTCAATTCCTCCTTCGACCGCCGCCATTCCAGTTAATATTCTTGATAATGTACTTCCAATACCAAATAAGGACATGAGGTAGGCCCCTTCGTTCGAGGATGAACCGGTTGATACGTAAAAGTCAGGAAGCAGTAGTGTACAACTATTTATGCCCGAACTCCAACATAATATACTCAGACACATAAAAACAAAACCCGTGTTATTAAATAAACTAAGATAATCCGTAACAGAGGAACATATATATGTCAATTTTAAAAGTTGACGAACATCACCTTCTTGTTTCGACAATGCCTGTTGTCGCATGATCTCCATCTTGTGTGGCCGCAGTAACGCGCCGAAGACACAAGTCTGGAAAGAAATACCTCCAAGCATGAGGAATGCTCCGTCAAGTCCATAATGATCAATAAATATCCGTATTAATGGCGGGAATATGACAATTCCAAGTCCAGTCCCCACCAAAATGGTACCAGTAGCGAGTGTACGTTGTTTCTTGAAGAAGTATCCGATTGAAACGACTGCACCAATATTAGAAAATGATTGGCCAAGACCTGTAGGAGACAAACGTGTTGATAACGCACAGGAAATACTAGTAATAAGGGTTTTTTGTTATCGTTTACATGCAAGTTTTAAAATGGTTGTTTTCATAATAAACAATTTAAGAAGTGAATTTTATGATTTTTTTAAGCAATACGTGTTACTGACGATAAAACTGAGGCAGATACAAAGAAAACAATACTGCGGTTTTATCTGACAAAAGCAAATAACTGCATTTTGTCAGGTATCCGACTTTTTAGAGTGTGGTGGCATTGTTATCAATTTCAAGCAATTCCTTTACACGCGTAAAAAACAACTGGAACTTATTTGTTAGCATCATTGACTGACCTGAACGTTTAACGTTCAGAGTTGAACTATTGCTAAAACGAAGTCAGCATTTTCATAAACGAACCACTGTACGGTGTTGAACACGGTCAACACGAAACACTGGCATCTTATCGAAAGGTAGATCATGATTTAAGTCATTTATTTTTGTCTGTGACTATCAAGGAAACACCAGTGAACATAAGATTTTTACCTGCAAGAATGCCGTATGAAAAAAATAGAAATTCAAACTTTGGAACAAAGCATGCCAAGGCAAATCCAACCATGTTTAGACTTCCGCCCATGATGACGCATGCGCGACAACTGAAGTTGTTCACCAATGCACTTCCGAGAGGAGCTTCAAATAAAAAAAATGAACTTTTTGTAGAGGAAAAAGAAATCTGAATAAGAGCTGGTTTCAGAAACAAGACTATTAAAAGGTAATCAGTGTGTGTATAAATTGATATGATTGTTCCGTCCTTTCCTACAATAGAAATCTGAAAAAGGGCTGGTGTCAGAAACAAGACTATTAAAAGGTAATCAGTGTGTGTATAAATTGATATGATGGTTCCGTCCTTTCCTACAATAGGAATCTGAAAAAGGGCTGGTTTCAGAAACAAGACTATTAAAAGGTAATCAGTGTGTGTATAAATTGATATGATGGTTCCGTCCTTTCCTACAATAGAAATCTGAAAAAGGGATGGTTTCAGAAACAAGACTATTAAAAGGTAATCAGTGTGTGTATAAATTGAGATGATTGTTCCGTCCTTTCCTACAATAGAAATAGAGCAAATATACCTGTGATAAACAAATGTCGCTAGTTGTTCGTATTGCTCTGTTATGATATGCACGACCCTCTATATCACAAGAAATTCTCATCTTTATTACCTGAATAACTTTCTAAGATAATATCGGATAATAAAAGAATGTAATGATATTGAAACCTATTGTAACACAAATAACATGATGATTGAATCAAAAATTCTACAACTAACACGCACGCACGCCTTTTAAGGCATTTTGACTACCCAATCTTCCTTCTGTTGTCCGAGATTACTTGTATGTAACAACTGTCCCGCTAATCTTCATTTGTATATGCTTTTTTCAGCACGCCAATATAACGGAGGTATTTTTTCACTATTATGTGATCGGAGCTGCATTAAGAGAGGTTTCCCTAACAAATTTGCTATGGACTATGCATACGTGAACTAGACACAACTTTGGGTATGTAAACACCATGTTCACTCAATTGCTTATGATTTCATCTTAAAGTGATGCCCCTTTCTGCTGTTTAATGCAAAGTATATATATGTTATGTTTGAACCACTGGGCATTTGTTTTTGAGTTGTGTCCGTGACCGTCAGTACTTCAGTCTTGTCCGGTATTTATCTCCTACACTATATCAGAAGTAGGTCACTTAGACTTACAATATGACCTTTGACCTACATCAATTAAAAGCTTGATTCGCTATAATTTCACATTCGGCATTCGCCGAATTATCCTGTTGTATTTTCATAAAGTTTTGTACAACTCTTTGGAAATACCACATTTCGTTATTTCGTGTGATCAATGTCACCATGGTGATCTGGTGCTATATCATATTGAGTTGATATGACTTATTTTAGAGACTACAGATTGACGTTCTATCACACAACACATTCTGTCAAATCTTTTGTGCATCCATTTGCAATTTGTAAACACTCAATTTTGATTCATAACTAAAATGTAAAAGTCCTATATCTAACATCATTATACAGAGCGGTTTTTTGTTGGCGAAATCGTTGGTTATGAAACATGAAACGTGACCTGACTCTTATTGTTGTTTCCATAAAAATTCAAAGCACGCTCCCCACAACAAATATGCATTCCTGTATGATCCACAGTATCTCATTACTTGTGGATGCATGTATTATCTACACACGTATACACATGTAAACATGGATATCATCGGTAAATATCTAAAATTGTATACTTTCACTGAAACATTCATAGAAATGAAGTGACGTAGTCCGTTGTGTATAAGTCTTGCAGGACCAAAAAAATGGACAAAACAAACCCGACATTGTCACACCGACCGTGAGAAATTATAAATGTAGAAACATGTCCAACTCAGCAAAGATACATTAATATCTATATGATATATGTATGTCATCATGTAGATACCTTGTCGACATAACGGCAAATAAATACATATTCAGCAAATTTCAAGTTAGTGTGTCACTTGTTGATTGACCTTTTATAACGCCTATCATAACTGGCTTGTCTCCTCTTTTTATTTCACTGATGTCTAGATGATCAATGATCTTACCATTGCCTATATACAACGGATAGAAATTGGAATTAAGAACACTATATATAAACTGTCTCTACACGTGATAGGCGTGATGATTTTTTTCCTTCCCAACCCATGGTGTGCCTTCTTAGTGCAGACTATCAGATAATCTAAGGCTTGTTTCCAATGTCGCCATTCCATGAAAATATCGAAAGCTGATGGAAAAACACTTAACAGATGGAGTTTCAGAAAATATAGAAAAATGAAGATAAATCTGGTAATAATGTTGTTTTTGATCTCACCCGAATTTGTCGATGTAACATTTCTTGGAAACTTTGATTTACATGGTAGATTTCATCAACGAGATAAAGGATGCTTACCCTATTGACATCCATTGATTTGTACGTATCCAGCCCTAGTTTACTTACATTTTAAGTCTATATTAAAGCTTTGTTATGATGGCGGTATTCACCTGCATTTTTTTTGCAATTAAAGACGTTTTCTGGAGAGCCATACATTTAATCGTTTATTCCATCTCAACGGTGTTCAGGAAATATAATTGAATTTTTGTCTGATAGTTTTCAAGAAATGGAGACTTCCTAAACCAAGACAAGTTATGTTTTTGTATATCATAAATGTTCCCTTGATAATTCGCCGCCATTTTAAAGTACAACACTTTGGCACTTACACCAGTGTTTTAGCATAAAAACTAATAAAATCGATGTCAATACTTCTTTACATCAGGATTACACAGCTAGCAACTTCCTAAACTAACATGTTCAGTCATCAGACTAAATATAATTCATTTGCTTAATATTGACAAAACAAAATATTTGCCAATAAAATACATTCAAGTTAAAATATGACATGGACTTTCCACCTGATTAACCTCTTTTAGATTATTGCATGTACATACATGTAGTTTATATTTACTTCCTATTTGATTTCCGTAAGTTATTTAACTAACATATTTATATTATTATTTCCACAGTACGAAATCAGCGATTCATTGTTCTCTTTGTGATAGGAGTATACTTTTTGGACGAAGATGACCTATTTGGTTATTGACAAGAAGTTAATTGATAATATTGATATATCAAGGTTTAGTTTAAACGATATCTATTAAAAATTTTCAAAATATTACACATACCATATACTTATACAACATATTTAAAACTGGAAAAATCTTTAATCTGACCCCTGTGACCTTGATAGTAGGTGAAGGTCATCCATCTGAGCAAACTTCATAATTCTTCAATACCAAATTGTTTCTGGTCAAACATTATAACCCTTTTTGATGGTTAAAGGATGATTCATGTTGTTTTTGTTTTTTAGCATTTTACTCATGGACTAACAAACAAGAGGCATTTATAGGATATAACCCGTGTAGTTGTAAGAGTAATTGGAATATTTAGCAGTTACGGCATAAAGTACTCCTTATTTCAGTCGCGTAACAAACTTTCAACTTCATGGCACCAGTAGAATCAAGAAGTTTCAAAATGTGTTTATCAAGATGGCGGCCATGGAGGCCATATTGGAGTTCAGACCAACCTAAATCACAACACTTGGTCAGAACCATCCAAAATAGCTTTGTTCAAGGAAACCATGACTGTCCAATCATGTTCCACTCTTTTAAGCCCGGATGTAAGCATGTTAGGAGTCTTAAAGAGGGATAAAACTAGAGTACCAGCCACGGGAAAATCCAAATGGTCAGTCAGGTGATCCCCTTCTTGTTCACATTCGTTCTGTGAATCAAACCCCGGACGTGTTTGACATGTTACTAGACAGGTTAGCAATTCTTCGTATAGAAATGTATTCAGTCTCTAAAGAATAACAATCCACATATCGGTTCGAATACATGCCTATAACTTTGATGTGATGATGTTGTATTAAAACAGACAGATATATAGAAATCCAGTATATAGCTGCCTGATTGCTTACGCGCCATGATCATGAAATGTCTCCTTCAGACCTTGTTCACAAGAGTGATTTTCGAAAACATTAAATGATAACACTAGTAAGCATCATCTCATGACTTTTCCAGACAATTTACAACAAAAGAGGAGTTCGAGAGAAAATTGGACCGCATGTTGTTGACAACCCTTGAGGATTGCTAAAAAGGTGACTGGTTTACAGTGCAAGTTGTTCTGGTGGAATATAGTTTCCATCTCATGAGATCTGTCTGTAGTAGAAGAATTGGTTTAAGAATTCAATGTCATTAATTAGGAATACTTTACCTCCTACAGCACTCAATCTATTCAATCTCAATCAAAATATCTAGCGGATAAAATGTTATTGTTGTATAAACAAAAATTTACAAAAAAATAATAATTGATACGATATTACACTTATAAAGGGCCAAAACATTATATCCCTGTCTATCAGTAGCCAGGAATTGCGTTATAGGTATTGCAAGTAAGAACAGTATATTCACTTCATAAACTAATATCATGAATTACTATCATCAAGAAAGAATGGTCAGGTCTATAATTCAATTACATTTCATTTACTGCAATCTTTATATTTGTCTGAGTTATGCTCTATTGATAATAGATGTTCTATCAACTTTAAGATACCGTATCAGTCTTTAAAAACCAGTTAATGAAAAAGTTAACAGAATGTCAGATAATTTAGACTATCTGTATCTATATACTTGAAGTGCGACTTATTTTGAATACCCAATCTATTGTTTACAACTAAACTAATAACATAACTTTGCGAGCTACACGATTATGATTAGATACAATATATAATAATTATGAGGTACTGTACTGTACCGATACTGTAAACTGTCTGACAGATCCAAACGTGTTTATGTTCACGCATGGTCACCCGTATCGTTACTGTCTGCCATTACATATATGAATTGTCAAAAGAAACTAGTATAAAAAAGTGTTCTTTATTAACCGTAAGCTGCGGTAATATCATATTCTATACCTAAATACTCCTATGCAAACATCATTCAGACAGGCAGGTGACTGAATGTTATAAAGCATTTCATTTGAAGCGAACATTTGAACGTCAGCCATACTGGAGTGCGTCCTTGGATTGAACCGGAATTAGATGACCCATATGTAAAAGAGATT